GCGTCCCTGACCTCCCCTGGGACACTGGCAGGACGGTGGATGCTGGATCCAGGGAGGCTGAAAATGCTGTGGGAGGAGAGTGTGGGAGTCCGAAGAGGCAGGACTGTGGGGGCGCGAGCAGTAGGGACAGAGAGGGCTGGAGCGGGTGGTGGCCTGGGAGGATGTCCCTGAGGCCCTGTGTCCTCCATCAGGGATGCACAGAGGGAATGTGAGCCATGCTGCCACAGCACGTAGGGGACCTGGGGTCCCGCAAGTCTGGATAGCGAGGCCTGTGTAGCCCTAGCCTTTGTGTGACAGGGGTGGGCAGCAAGCCTGGCACGGATGCAGAGCAAGTGGGTGACAGCTTGGGTGCAGGTGCCAGGTCCTGGGCAGATGGTGGGCACTGAGTCCATCTCCCCAGTTGTACCCAGGAGATGAGAACAGGTCACAACACTGCCCAGCCGAGGCTGAGGCATTCCGGGGCTCGGCAGTGATGTCCACATTGTGTGGTTGGAAGTGACGTCTGGGCTGGAGTTGACACATGGTTGGAGCGGTGAGGCTGCTGGCTGGAGGGCAGGGGAGAGGCCCCACAGCCACGGAGTGCGGAGCAGATGGAGGCCCCAGGACAGAACGAAAGCCCCGCCCCGGGCAGGAGGGGTGATGGGCCTCCTTTGCTGGCCAAGTGCTGAATGTGCCCAGGCAGGAACAGCCACTCCCATTAGAAGCAAAAAGTTGCTGTCATGAGTGATAAGAAAAATTTTGAATGGAGGGGGAGGTAGCTCTGTGGTAGAGCACTTGCCTAGCAAGGGGGGGACTCCAGGTTCTATTGCCAGCAGCTCAGAAAAACTAACACCCACGTGCAGTGGTGCCCCACGCAGCCTGGGCCCTGGGTTCCAGCTGCAGGAAGGGCCTGGTCCTCTGATGCCAAGCAGACAGGCCCTGTGTGGCCGCCTGCCTCGGGTCACCTACGCCTCACCCTGGGCAGGTGGCAGGCTTGGCAGCACTGGGCCATCTGCGGGGAAGCCTACAGGCAGGGGTGCGGCCATGGGCACAGACCAGGGGACGGGACATGGCCTCAACAGTTCTCGTCACCTACTGCTGGGGTGACCAGGTATGCTGGGTGAGGGACAGGTAGGTGCCTGAGTCTCCTTGTGGCCTGCTGGACAGGTCTCCACTGAGCCCGGTGCCTTCCCTCCAAGTCCACCGGCTGGCTGGCTCCTCCCTCGCACACTCATCCCCCTGCGCACATCCATCTCGGGCTGGACTTGCAACTGTCTCGGACAGACCTCTGCTGGGTGCCAGGGCTAAAGCGCATGTTCGGGTTAGATCACCTGCAGGGCTTCCCCAGCGTGTAGGGGGCACCTTCCGTCAGAAGAGCATGGTGACCCATGGCTGCCAGTGGTCATTTTCTGAACTGGAAATGAGTGTCATTTCTTCATCCTGTGGAAGGTGGGTTAATCTGATGACTGTCACCTCCATCCTGACCTGCAGTGCACAGTGAGGCTTGTAGAAGCGAAACACAACCTGCAACGGACACCAGACTCAAGAGTGGCATGTCACTTCTGCTCTGCAACATTAGGGACTTTCACTTAACCCAAGAAAAATATTTTGTGAAGAATTTAATAATTCTCGGGCCAGGGAGTTAGCTCAGTGGTGCTGCCAGCTGCCTCTTAAGCGCAAGGTCCTAAGTTCGATCCCCGGTACCAAAAAAAAAAAGAAAGAAATTCTCTTTATTAAAAAAAAAAACCAATACAAACTCTGTTTATAGACCCCTTTGGCACTGACTGCTTTAAACAGAGATGCATTAATGCCAGGGGCAGGCCAACACATTTGCACACAAGGTGAGCCCACCTTCCCACCAAGTGTCCTGAAAGCTGATGCAAACGCATTCAAAGAAGAGCCATGCTTCTGGAGAGAACTTGGAGAAACCAACCTCTCCGAGTTTACGCGAAACGTTAGAACTCAGTGGAGGACGTGTTGGGAATTTTTAATTTCTCCTGGATAGATCAGTGTTCCTCAAGTAGATGTTCCCTGTAGGCCACCTAGAAAGGGTGAAACCCTAATGCTAAATTCCATGGGACTCTCCAAGCAGGCCCAGGTCACCCTGGGCTCCGGCAGTGCTAGGACCGAACATGTTCCTGACAGTGGCTGCATGAGAGGGGGTGGCCCACTCCCTCACCCACCCACAGGCCACAGAGCCAGGCTTCCACAGTGACCTCGGGGAAGTGGCCACAGTCCTGGCTCAGACTAGGGTGGCTGTACCTGTGCAGAGGCCCAGAGAGCGGTGAGCGGCCCCAGGGACACCCCCTCGTCGTCCTGGAGGTGGCTTCGAACTGGAGCCAGCATTTGGGAAAGCGGCACCAGCGCTTGGCCACGCAGCCCTCGGAAGCCCCGTCCTCACCTCGGCACTCTCAGCTTCTTTAAACACACCTGCTGGAGCCTGCGAGACTGTCGGGCAAGGCGGTTGGATGTACAGGGCATCGGCTTGCGCGAGAGACCCTGGCGGGGACATCTCACAGGGGCACCCTTGAGCTGGTCCGGGAAGAGGGTTCGTGGTCTGAAGAAATCTGGTGATTGCTGTTAATTTTTAATTTCAGGCACCTGGGCCAAAGTTGGTTTCCGGCTTCTTCTTCCCCCGGCCACCCAGGGACTGCTTGGCTCAGGCCAAGGACCTCTTTTGGGTGCCTGCAGGTGTTCATGGGCCCCTTGGGTCCCTTAGATCCCTGTGGGTCCCTTGGCTCCGGGGACCACTGCAGGCCCCTGCAAGTCCCTGGATATCTCTGTGGATGTCCGTGGAGTCTTTGTGGGGCCTCTGTCAGGGTCTGTGGGGGTCTGTGGTCTCTGCCGTGTCTCTGGGGTGTCTGCAGGGCATCTGTGGGTGTCTGTGGGCCCCTCTGGGGTCTCTGCCGTGTCTCTGGGGTGTCCCGAGGGGTCTGCAGGGTCTCTGTGGGGTCTCGTGTGGAGTCTCTGGGGTTGCTAGTCTCTGGGTGTCAGTGCAGCATACGTGGGGTCTTTCGAGACTGCGGGGTGTGTGCGGGGTGGCTGTGGGTCTCCGGAGGGCCTGCAGTGTTTGCGGAGTGTTTCTGGGGTTCCCCTGGGATCTCTGCGGGGACCTCTGTGCCTGAGGAGCGTTGGGTGATGCCACACACCTGCCGCGCTTCCCCATCTCATCCTCCTAGCAGGGGCTGTGGGTCCCTGCGCTGGGGTCCATGAGTACCGGGGACCTCGGTGCAGTGCTGCTCTGGGTTAGGGGTCTGTCTCTACCTCGGTCTCTGGACCGGTCAGTCCTCGCCTGCTCCTCCGCCCACTGAAGTCCTGTCGTCAGCGGTGCCCCCTGGCTGGGGTCCAGACTTTGGGCGTTGGCCCCGACCCAGCGGCCTGGGCTCTGAATAGGGATGTGTTTTTGCACCCCGAGCTGCTGATTCCTCAGGAGCGCTGGAGAGGGTTGAGTGGGACCGTGCGTCACTGTCCCAGCCCTGCTCCCTTCCATGCCGAGGCCCTGGGTGGAGGAAAGCTGGCCAGGGCTGTGCTGGGCAGTAGGTGTGCCCTCCCACCCTGCAGGCGGAGACCTGCTCATCCCCTCTCACCTGCCTCCCTGTCCCCAGGCAGGAGCCCCGGCAATGCTGGGCCATTCCTTCCCCCAGTCATTGGTGTCCCTAGCATCCATCCCTGTGTAAACAAGCAGGGCGGAGGGAGATGGCAGTGTTTGGAGAGCAATTACGTTTTAGCACCTGGCCCCAGTGTGTGGTGAAGTGAAAGTGGAAACCCAGCAGTTCCAGCAGACTGACTGTAGAGGCCGAGCTCTGCGTCGGGCCTCGTGGTGCCCAGGAGGGGCATGGTGAGAGGGCAGAGGGCCATGGCACAAGGGCGGCCAGCCCGAGTCTCGGTGGCGGAAATGCAGCGCTACTACCTCTACTCCGAGTGGTGCTCCTGGCTGCACTCTCTGGCTGAAGGTGAGTCTGTCCCTGCCACTCCCTGGGGAGGCCTGCTGGCTGCACAGCTCGGCTTGGGGTTGACATGGAAGGTGCCCTGCACAGTCTCGGGTCATCTGGGCCCCAGGAGCCTGCAGCGGCCCAGGGTGGGGATCCAGATTAATGAGCTCACTCCAGTGATGCCATTTGCTCCATCTCCTGTCATTGCTTGTCTAAAGCAGACGACATCCCGGTCCTGGCCAGGGCAGGCGTCTCTGCAGCGGCCGTGGCCATCAGGTGATAGATGCCAAACAGAAGCTGTTAGCTGTGTGGTATCAGTTGCCCTGTGACAGGGACATACCTGGAGTGACCGTTTGGAGATCAGCTTCCTCCTGCATTTGGGTTAAGCGGCACCAAGCCACCTTTGTGTCAGCTCCGCCGGGCGGGGGGGCGGGGGACCTTCCTGGCCCTGTAGGGTCCACCCAGCCCCTGGGCCACACGTGGGGCTGGGTCCCTGCCTGGAAGCGGGGCTCCTTCGGTCCTTCATGCAGCCTCACATTCTCCTCTATCTGTCAGGCCTGTGGCTGAGGTCTCAAAGGGGTGGGGCCTGTGTAGTGTTTCTGCGTGGTGTTTGGTGGCATTCCCCAGCCAGCAGTCCGAATCCTCCAGAGTCGAGCTTTGCCGTTGACCAGCCTTGCTCTGCCCTCTCCCCTGAACTCAGCCCCGTGCAGTTGGGCACAGCGGGCAGCGTGTCGAGGAGGCCTGGTGGGGTCACAGCCAGGTCCCTGGGTGCTGCGCACACACAGCCTGGCCTCCAGCCGCCTCTTCCGATGGTTGAGACATGGCAGTGGCACTGCAGGCTCCCCCAGGAGGGCCACAGGTGTGCTGAGCACAGCGTCCACAGGCATGGAGCAGCGTGAGGCCCAGGGGCAGACTCATGCACATGGCCTACTCGGAGGTGAGCCCCACCGGGGCCCAGGACCCAGAGGTGGGGAGGGAGGAGCACTGCAGCCCCAGGAGAGAGGGCCAGGGTGGGGAGGGAGGGGCAGGGCGGGCAGCAGGCGCGGCAGGTGGGGCGCCCCAACGTGACCAAGGCGTGGGCAGCTGTGACTGCCCCGTGCACCCCAGTGAGCCCCAGGGGCTGCAGAAGGGGCCTGCTCTTCTCCTCGTTCATCGGCTGTAGAACAGCAGCGTCCTTTTCCTTTAGGGAGACTGAGGCTGAGCACTAGCCACTTCTGTGGGGTTGGATTTTCGGCAGTAACGGGGTGAGCAGCCAACGTTTGGGCAGAACGGTCTTACGTACTTGATGGAGATACGCATGGCTTCATGATGCCCACTGCCCACCCCAAAGGGGACCAGCACTCTTCCTGGTCTTTATGTACAGTGCCAGGAAAGGATCAGGACACAGAGGAGGCCAGAGGCCCAGGACCCCTGAGTTTCAGGTCCCCTGGGCACCGAGGTGCCTGGCTGGTGGCATGATGGCACCTCACATTCCGACTGCAGCGGGGACAGAAAGGCGGCAAGGCCCGAGGTTGTGGGACCCAGGTGGACCGGGTCCTGCAGGGCCGAGTCTAGAGGGCAAGGGCAGGTGGGGTGGAGGGCGCCCCAGGGTGGGCAGGGCTTCACAGACCCGGCCTAGCGTTCCCGCCCCTGCCCAGGTGCCCAGGGAAGCCAAAGCGGCCAGCGCCTTCTGCTCCTGTCTGTCCTCCCCTTTGCTGCTCACTAACATCCACTGCCCCTCCTGGCTCCCTCAGGCCGTTGTGCATGTGACAGCCTCAGCCAGGCCTGCAGAAGTGCTGCTTCAGGCGGGCAAATGCTGGTGCCCTCCCCCTCCAGCAGGGACACAATGGAGGCTGAGTCAGGGTGGCCAGAAAGGGAACTGAAGCCACACTTCTGCAGCCAGGCAGATGAGCCCTGCGCATCTCAGAGGAGTGAGGGCGGCCAGGGCCAGGGTCGCCCGGTGAGGCATCCCCAGCCCATCCTGGGACCGCACTGTCTCGCGCCCACCCTGCGCACTCTGGTGTGGTGTGGCTGAGGAGAGGTAGGCCTCAGTTTGTGCACTCCTGCCTCCACGGGGAGAATAGGTGTGGCAGGTGGCGGTGCGTGCGTCCCGGTGGAAGGGAGCCTGGCCCACACCTTCGCTGTGGGTGGCGTGACAGTGCCAGAGCCCACCCGAGAGGAAGCACCAGCAGCGGGAGGGAGGCTGGTCTCCCTCCCAGCGGACCAGCCGCAGTCTCAGCATGCGTCTCCGGCCTGCGGGGAGGATACACAGGGCTGAGCGTCAGGAGCAGCGCTGAGTGAAGACCTGGCGTCTAGAGAAAGGTGTTGGGGATGCGGTAGAGGGGCCGCAGTAGGGTGGGAGCTTCCTTCTGGGATGTGGCCATGGCTCCTGGGGCCTAGTGGACTCTCGGTGGCTGTTCCTGCCCTGAGTCTGAGGTGACTCAGCGCTGAGAAGGAGGCACTGGTAACACCCTTGCTGTTTGCCATGTGGGCACGGCGGCCTCTGCCCAGGGCCTGGGAAGTGGTGCGTGTTCTCTGCTGTCTTTGGTTTTTTAGTGCTATGTGGTGAGCAGGGCGCGTGGCTCTGAGCCTCTGTGTTCCCTGGCCACAGGGAAACTCAAATCTGTGTGGCTCAGAGGCTCCAGGAACAGGCCGGGGCTCGGGTGGGGCAGAGTCCTGGGTCTGCGGCCTTTTCCTCAGTCTCCTGCGGTGCATACTTCTCTGGGGTGGCCCTGCCCGGTGTCTTCCAGTCCCCAGCTGAGGGACGCGTCTGCCATCCAAGGTCCCCCACTAGGCTCTGTGTTGAAAGCAGCGTGAACTGCACACCCTTGGGGTCACTTCCTAGAGTTTGAAGGCCAGGAGGACGCACAGTGTGCGGTTTAAATGGTTTAAGCCTTGTGGTGGGACGTCCACCCGGAGCCCTGGAGCCTTGGGCGGGCCTGGGGACAGGAGACTTTCCTGAGTCTTTTTTTTCAAGGAGAAGTTTTAAAGACCATGCATAATAAAACCAGCATGACAGTCCATGCTACACTAGAGAAACAGGAAGCAGCACGACACCAGACACCTTCGCCGGGAGGGGATAGCTAGCGTGGCCTGCAGTTCCCTGCAGCTTGCCCGTGGGGTGCCTCTTCACATCCACAGCCGCTGGAAAGGGCTGTTCGGAGCGCTTCCTGTGCACAGGGTGCACGGGTCAGGACCAAGCACTCCCATGTACGGAACAGCGGGGTGAGCGAACAAAGGATTTCCAAGGCCGCACGGTGCTTTTCCTCTCATGCACCTGTTCATCCACAGAGAAGCAGTCTGAGCGCCTACTGCGTGCCAGGCCCCGAGGAGGTGCTGTGTTTCTGGACAGTCGCACGCCGGGGACCTTCATCGGCTTGGAGAAGCAGGATGGATGTTGGCGGCCGGCAGGCGCCTGGCCTGGCCCAGCATGGGCTCCTCACTGCCTGTCTCCTCCCACCTGGGCCCTGCCCTGGCAGCCCTGTGGTGTAAACACACCATGTTCCGGGATGTTGCCCTGGCTCCTGGCTGGCACCTGGCCCTGCCCTGCACCTGGCAGGTGGTGGCATGGGCCTGAGTGACCAGCGTCCACCTTCTAGGACATGGAGTGAGCGGGACGTGAGTCTGGGGTACCCCGCACCCCCTATTTCCTGTTGGGGTGTCTTCCCAAGAGATGTGCACCTTCGAGACACTTTCTCTAGACGTGTATTCCCCAGCAGGGGACAAAGGCAGATTCCTGGCGCATGATCTCACTGGAGTGGTGGAAAGTCTGTTTGTGAGAAGCTGTAAGCATTTCCCAACGCACCAGGTGTTCACAGGTGGCTTAGGTGGAAAAGTCTCCCTAGAGGTGGCAACTGAGCATGCAGTTGAAATTTGCCCTCCAGACTCTTGGTATCTGCTCTTTCTCACGCGCTGCTGCCACCGGCCTACCTCAGCTCCCAGAAAGGACAACTATTTGTGCCTTTAGGTCTCGAGGCCACCCACCCAGCAGGGCCCGGTGGTCACCCTTCGTGAGATCTGGCTCGTTAGGCCTGCCCACCCCGCCACCTGGGCTGGGTGAGGTGCTGGGCCCGGGAATGGTTCTTGTTCAAAGGTCCTCTCTTGTATGCTGCCTAGTCACCACGAATCTCAATGAGGACAGCACTGCCTTCCCCTAATGGACTTGGCCTGGATTTATCAGATGCACTGATCGCAAGGACTAGGTCTGGAGCCAGGCTCCTGAGGGCCGCCACCTGGAGGCCAAGCCACTGTGGACAACGCTATCCTGGGCGGATGCCGGGAATCAGAGCGGCAGGTCCACAGAACCCGGAATATCCTAGCCAGGGTCACTCCGTCTCTGACTGCTCCCGCAACAGTTCATAACCACTTCCCCTGTTCCTGAGCTTTCGGGACTCACTGTGCGGCCATCTGACACCTGACACTGGGCATGCAAACAGGTTCCTGAAGCAGGGTGTCATCTTATTTTATTTTTGTTTTTGCCATATGGGGGCTGGGCCCAGTGCTCCACCACCGAGCTGCACACCAGCCCTCAGCCCCAGTTTGGAGAGCACCAGGTTCTTACTGTGGACATGAGCAGACAGAGGAAGTGCTTTCCTTCAGCCGTCTGTGTGCCTCTCCAGGCCATCCACAGGGGCCAGACTCTGGGGTAAGGTTCAGTAGTCACCCAACACAGAATGGGCATCCGGCCAAGTCCAGGGCCATCCAGCGAGGGGGGCTGGGTGTGCTGGGAAGCCCAGCGTCCCCCTGGTGGGGTGAAGTTTAAGCCGGGGCTGCAGCGCTCTGCGGTTGAGGGAAGGGGCCTGGGTGTGTGGGGGGCGGGGGGGGGGAGATCAGTGGTAGGCAGGCTGGGCGGCCACCTTGGTCATTTTCCTTCTCACTGGGACACAACACCTGATCCCCACAATTCCAAAGAGGAAAGGTTTATTTTGGCTCATGCTTCAGTCCATGGTGGGCTGCTCCAAGGCAGGGTGGCATGGCAGAGGGGCCTGGCGGAGCAGAGCTGCTCAGGGCATGGAGGACAGGAAGAGAGGAGGGAGGAGTCGGAGGGGGAGGAACCTTCCAGGCCATGTGCTCAGTGAGCGCCTCTTCCCGCCAGGCCCCCTCCTCACGGTCAGCTGAGAGCCCCGTGGTCCAGTCACCTCCCAAACAGGCGAGGCTCGGGCCATTTTAGATCCAAACCCTTACAGGACCCAGGCCTCCCAAATAAGGCTTGCCAGTGTCAGCGCGGACACGGGATGGGGTGACAGGCCCCAGGCACATGGCACGGCAGGCAGGATGGCAGGGCAGTGGCTCAGGGGTGGGTGGACTGTGAGAGTCTGCTCTAATTTCAGTCCAGAGCCTGACTTTCGGCCCTAGGGACAACCTCAGGGACTCTGGTAAGAGACAGGGCTTGAGACTTCTCTTCAGCAGGGAAATAGGGAAACTGTGGACATGGAGGCCCAGGGGCAGTCATTGCTTCGAGCCCACTCAGATGGCCGGTCACTGGTGAGTGACCGCTGGCACTGCTCCACACGTCTGGTGAGCCCTGCCATCGTCCAGTGCATTCCTGGGCTGACACATGGGACAGCAGACGTCCCTGCCAGACCACCCTGGATCAAAGAGGCAGAAGGGACCACGGGCCCTGGGTCAGGATGGAGGATGGCTTTCAAGGGATGTGCCAGACTGACAAAGCAGAGATGGGGTCACTGCGGCTGAGCATAGGGAGTGTGAGCATGTGGGTACATCCCCCACCTTGAGACCCCGTTCCTCTGCCCAGGGCCTGAGATGCCTGGTGTGCACTGCTGTGCCCACTCTGCTGGGAGCCCTCTTCACACGCGTGGGTTTACAGAGGGGTCACTGAGGCTCAGGGAGTGAAGCGGGCCGGCGAGAGCACAAGGTGCTGCCCAGCTGGTAGAGGTGCAGGCCCTGGCCCCAGAGCCTGTGAGCATCGCTGTGTATGGAGGGTACTGGAGGAGAGAAAGGAGGAAAATGAGCAAGAGGCTCCAGAAGGAGCGTGCATGTGGTCAGGCTCACCAGCCTCCATGTCCCAGCCCCTCCCTCTCCTGGGCGCCCGAGGCTCTGTCCTTGGACCTCCAGCTGCCTTCTGTTTCCTGTCCGAGGTGGCCGTGGCCCAGGAGACTCCAGCCAGCGTGGGGGAGTCAAGTCTGGGCCTGCTCACCTCTGTAAGGTGCCGCCCTGGCCCTGGCCCATGAGGCAGCCAGGGGACACTGGGGAGACACGGCCCTGGGTGGGTGTGCGGTGTCCGAGGCCCTGTCCTCCCCTGCTTCCCGGGCGGTCAGGGAGCGGCTCAGGCTCCAACCCTCACCCACCTGCTCCCCGGGCTCTGGTGTCTCCATCCTGGTGGGCGTGGGGACAGTGACGGTGAGGGCAGCAGGCAGGTGTGGCCGACACCCTGCAGTCATGGTGCCCTGGGAAGTGGCCTCCCTGTGGCCAGTGTCGTCCCTGCTCTCTGTCCTGCCACCCACTCTGCAGGCTGGACCCCTACCTCGTGGTGCCAGGTCCATCTTAGCCCAGTCCGAGTGCCCACCTCTTTGCAAACCTCCCTCTCCTGTCCTGAGCAGGATTGCCTCCTCGTCCCTCCGCTGTCCCAGAGCTGCCAGGTCCCAGGTGGCCTGAGCCCCTCACATGGAAGGGGTGCTGAAGCAGATGGTGTTTAACACAGGACACGGCCGCTTCAGAGCTGAGATTAGGAACGGAATTTTAAAGAGCACTGCACCCCAGCGGCCTGGGTGGTGCAGCCTGCAGACTGGCCCTGCCTGCCTCCCCTTGCCCTGTCTCCAACGTGTGCAGCAGAGCTGGGACCAGGAGGGCAAGACTTGCGCTGTGGCCTTGCTTTAGCCTACCCTGTTTCCCACATGAACGTGTTTGGGGAATGGCTCCGAGGCCCTGGCGTTCTCTCCTGGCTGGGCCTGGGATGCTGGCAGGGCAGATCCGGAACTCCAGCAGCCACACCCTCCTGCCGCCCACGACACCCAGACAACACAGTGCTGTTTCCATCTGGGCACAGCCCGGCTGACACCTGGCATCCTGAGCTGCTCTCATCTCCTGCCACCCCCACGAAACTCTGCACAAAGCTCAGATATACCTGGCGCCCAGCTCGGCTGATCTGCCCTGTCCCTGCTAGGCACGGCCCACAGCGGGGACCCAGCCCCGGGTCCACCCAACTCCGGTGGGTCCCAGCAGGTGCTCTGTGCCTGACCCTGCAGGGCAAGTGTGGTCTTGAGCCCCAAGAACTTTGGGGTCCTCTTGTCCCACACGTCAGCCAGGGGAGAACCGGGCAGAGCAGTGTCCAGGCCTTCGTTCACCCCGGACCCAGACTTGCCATCAGGAGCCTCAGGTGGGTCTTGAGATGCAACTGGCAGGTGTGGGGAGACCAGGTCAGCTCTGCCCATTGCTGTCCTCAGTCCTGGCAGCAGTGACCACAGCTTGAGTGTCCAGGTTGTGATGGGGGACACGGGTGTCTGACAGCCTTCCGAGGACTCTCGCCCGACCCGCACCAGGATGGAGACCCACTAGCCTGGGGCAGGTGGGTGAGGGACAGGGCCTGAGCTGCTCTCTGACCACCCGGGAAGCTGCGGACCCTCTCCTGCCTGCTGCAGGTATGGCCTGGCCTCTGTGCCAGTCCTGGTGGACGGATGGGCCACACCCTCACATCCCGGCTTCTGCAGCCCTTTGTTTGAGTTGGCCTCGCCTGTGTTTGCCCCACACTGTCTCCCCCACACTGGCCGCACCTGATGGAACAGGTGTGTAAAACGCACTTGTTCATCAGGAGCAGACAGCTGTGCCCATCCAGGTCATTTGTGCCAGGCCACTTGCCCCACCCTCAAGCGCCCTGCTTATATGGAACCGGAACCAGGGCTTTGCTCCTGCAGTCTCCAGGGGCAGGAAACCAGCCCAAGGCTGCTGGACACGGGCTGGGGCCCTGCCGCCAGAGGTGCAGGGGAAGTAGAAGACACGTTGTCGAGCAACAGTGTCTGAGCTCGACTCCAGCTTCCTCCTCCTGCACAATTATGAGGACAGGGCCAGGGCTTCCCTGCCGAGGGCTGGGCCTGGCTGGTCCTGTGTCCCAGCACCTGCCAGAGGGCCACGGTCCCCGGCTCACCCCCTGCACAGTGGCTGCTGTCTGTGCCTGAGTTCTGTGTTATTATAAAGAAACCCAGCTTCTGCATGCACTTATACTACAAAGCACAAATAAACAAGGATCCATTAAAAACAGATGCAAGAAAATAGCTCCTGCCCTGCCATTGTGAACCCTACAAGAAGAGACAAGGCCCAGTCTGCCCAGAGGGCGCTGGCTTCTCGGCTGTGTGGAGGAAACAGTGGAGTGATCAGTGGCAGCTGCAGTGTGGGCCTGGGTGTTCCCACCTCTGTCCTCACAGGCTGTGGGTATGGTCAGGTGGACAGGCCCCCCAGGACTGAGGCCAGCGCCCTCCTCGTTTGCACCTTGGTAGGACACGGCACATCTGCTTGTTTAGTGAACTGTGCGGGTCTGGCGTGGGCCTGCAGATCCAAGGCCCTTCGCACACAGAAGCCCCGGTGTGACCAGAAGTAGGGTTTGGGGACCTGCAGCGCCAGAGGGGAAGAGTGGGACCTTCTTGCTTCTCTCCTGGAGCCCCTCCCCCTGCAGCTTGGCTTCTTGTCAAGGGAGAGCCCTGCACCCTCACCATCTATGTGCTTAAAGCTGAGGACTCAGAGTGAGCCCGGCTTTGAAGTTGTCTCTGCTCCCACTCCATGCACGTCCGCACTGTGCTGAGGCCACTGGAGGCCCTTGCTGTGCTGTCAGACCCAGAGCAGAGAAGAGTGGACGTGCTGCTTTCTTGCCTCGTGGGAGGGGACATCACACCTCTAGCACACATCAGCAGGTGTGTCCGGCAGGATGTCCTCCAGCTGAGCATCACCTGCGGGCTGGAGTTCGGGGAATTGGAAACTGAACACTGGAAGAAGTCAGACTGTGCTTGGCTGTGCCAGGAATTGCACCTTGATCTGCTCCTATGTCCCCAGCAGTGGCCCTGTCCCTGCAGGCTAATGATGCAAGGCTTGTGGGTGCTGCTGGGTCCCAGTGGGTGTGGCTGGCAGAGGAGCTGATGGAAAGGAGGGGCCTCTCCCAGGAACCCCTGAGCCCAGCTTGGCTGACACATCTGTCCTATGTGGTGGCGATGCCCTGGAGTGGCCACTGGAGTCCAGGGTCTGAGAGTCTCACTCCAGCGGCTGAAGACAGAGCCAGAGATCCAGAAAACTGCAGCCTGCAAGTCCCTGTTGTGTCAGGTCTGAGGGCAGCGCCCGCCAGTCCTGAGTGCATGCTTAAGGTGCACGGGTCTTGGGGCGGAGGAAGCGGGTGTTGTGCAGACACTGCCTTCAACCTGCGCCTGTGTGAGGAGGGGACGTCACTCCCACTCCGGCGGGAACGTGGGCGGGATGTCTGCCCGAGTGACTGCATTCAGGGAGCAGGCAAAGGCTGGCGCTGAGCTGGCATCGCTTGTGCATGTGCTAAGAGCGTAGACCGGGGTTGTGAGTCTGCAGCAAGTGTGGGCTCAGCCAGCCCCTCGCCACAGCCACAGGGCAGGGACAGTGGCCGCTGTCCAGAGCCCAGGCCTTGCAAGGCCCTGCGAGACAGTTCTCATTGGTCTTACCGCCTCACTGGCTTCAAGGTGGGGAAACTGAGCTTTCCGCCAGTGAACAAGGAGCCCAAGGTCCTTGTGTCGTGAGCTACAGTTCTCCCGGCAGTTCTCCTGGTCCCTGGGGTCCCCTCCCTCTGGGGAGCAGAAAGAGCTCGGGTCAGGACGCAGGGTGCAGACCCAAGGGACAGCTGGGGTCCCGTGCTGGCCAGCTGTGGGGCCGTAGTCTCATGGGGCAGGACCTGCCGTGCACATTGATGGAGGAGGGGGCCCGGAGCAGTCGAGCCCACGAGGGTTAGGGACAGCAGGACGCGGCCCTCCCAGCCTCTGACAGCCAGGCCAACTCCCACACGGAAACCATGCTCTCCTGGCCTCAGCTCGGAGCCCTTGGCCCCTGAGGCTCTGCAGCTCCTTTTTGGTCCACAGAACTTGAGGTGCCTTGGAGCAGTCTTGGCCACCCCTGCTGGACCCCGGAATCAAAGCCCACCCTGCCGGACCTCCCACTTCCTGCCGTGGTCATAGAAGCCCGCGCTGGCAGCAGGTTGTAGTGTGCGCTCCAGGACCTGATCTCCCCACTTCCCCACTGCTCAAGGGCTCCTGTCTGCTGGGAGCTGGGAGCTCCCAAAGCCAGAGGAGCTCCACTGGACAGGAACAGGACAGCAGAGGCCGCTGCACACGTGGGCTCAAGCTTGCCACCCTCCTGGGTGCCACCAGGGCAGAGGCCCAGGCCCTCCTGGGGGTCACCTTTCCCCAGCACTTGTGCCCATGGACCTGGCTGAGCTGGCCCCTGTACTTCAGGTGCCTGTGCCCTGGACCTGGCCAAGCTGGGCCCCTGCGGTGGACAGGACCTACCGGGGTGGACTGGATCTGCTGAGCTGGGGCCCCTGCAGGGGGTGTCCAGACGGGCAGCACAGAGATCCTGAAGCTGCAGCCAGCAGGCTCAGCTGCCACCAGGATTTCAACGGTTAAGCCATCTGCACAGGATAAGTGAGCTGAGCCCCAGCTCCCTAATCAGAGACATCGAATCCACGGCCCGGGGCGGAGCAGCCAGGGGCCCAGGAGCCAGCCCCGCGCAACAGCAGCCAGGGAGGTGCTCGGCCCTGGCAGCCAAGATGGAGCTCCGCCGGCTTCCTTGGTGTGCTCCGGTCGGGTGTTCTGAGCAGCGGGCCGCCACTCCTGGCCGGTGACAGGGACGGTGACGGTGACGGCATGACCCTGAGCCTGGTCTCCCTGCTGTCCCAGGACATCTCTGCTCTGTGGCTGCTGCTGAAGACACAGGCAGGTGTGCGTCCGGCTGCCCGTGTTTCTCAGGGACGAGGCGAGCTGTGCAGACCCGTTGGGGTGGCGTACGTGTGGGGACTCCAGGCCAGGTGGGGACAGTCGGGGTTGACAGACTGGCCAAAGCTCGAGGCTGGTGCATGGGAGGCCTGGGAGGGCCAGACGCTGGGACCTGGGATCAGCTCGGGGTGTCGCTGCGGTGAGGGACAGAGGGACAGTGCTGGCTTCTTCGGGTGCGTGTGGGGCCTCGTCCTCGAGGCCTGGGCCACCAGCCCCCGCCTGGGCGGCCCCAGTGAACACAGGGCTGCGTCTGCTCTTGGACCGACGTGCAGCTGCTGCGCCTGGGGGAGGGGGTGGCTGCAAACCCTCTCCGGCGCCTTTGTTCAGCCCGCT